CTTGGTGATCCTGCCCTTTGCTCGGCAGAGATATTTCCTTTGTCTGCCTGGGCCATGAAAAGATGCTCTGGAATATTCCAGAATACAACTAACTGGTAGGCTTCTACTTCTAAGACTTGTAGAAACAGGAGCAAACCCAGGCACAACAGTCCTCCAAACCTGCATGAGATTTCTAACTTTTGTTATTTATTGAAGCACCCAATGCCCTCTGAATAAATGATGAGTTCACAGAACCCATAGGTACTTTGCATGCTCCTCAGCCCTTTAAAGAGCTCACCCACAGGAGCTGTAGCTGGGCTGTGAGCTGCTAGACATCAAGAAAACTAGCTTGGTGGACTTTATAGTCTTTTATGTATCTTTGGGGAAGAAGAAGAAAAAAAAAGAAAAAGAAAGCAAACACACTCGTTGAGTTTCCTCAGAGTGCTAGAAACCAAGAACAGCTTGATTCCAGAGGAACAGAAGTGACGTGCTGGAGAAAGATGGCAGGAATGCACCATTTGAGTGCTTGGTGCAGGGATGGAGTGTGTGAAGTAGGAGGTTTCAGAGCACACCCTGATACCTCTCACGTGACTCCTTTATGGTACCCAATCACCAATTCACCACCCTCCTTTCCCAGGGTTGGGTCGTGTCATGTGTTGAGCCTTCTGGATTATATTTTCTTCCTTTTATCATCTTAGACATTTGGAATCTGAAAGCTTAAACATGTCTTGTTTTAATTTAAAGCCCAAATGACCATTTTGAAGGAAAATGCCCATTTCTGTGCCCATCTGAATCGATGTGAAAAAGTTCCAAAATAATTCCCTGAAAGATATAATGAAAGTATGGAGAGAAGGCAAACCAGGAATAAGAGTCTTGTACAAGCAGACTAAATGATGTTCACAGAAAATAAGGGACACAAAAAATAAGACTGCTGTTGGGTTGGAGAGAAGGCCCAGAGGTCAAGAGCACTGGCTGTTCTTCTAGAGGATCCAGGTTCAATTCCCAGCACCTACATGGCAGCTCACAGACATCTGTAACTCCAGTCTCAGGAGATCTGATGCCTTCTTCTAGACTCCAAGGACACTGCACACACATGGTGCACAGACATGCATGTAGTCAAAACACCCATACATATAAATGTTTTTTTAAAAAAAGATTGTATAGAATCTAATACCTGCTTCTTGTAGAACCCTGAAGCAGCATAGGAGAATATAAGACAAGTATAGCCACACATCACTTAAGATAGTGATACACCCAAACACTGTCTCACTTTACCCCAACATATACATTATGAAGCACTCACACAACCTGAGAAGGCTGAGGGAGCACTGGCCCACACTGCCACATATATTGTCCAGCACCAACAAAACATTTCATGCAGCTCAGAACTGTGTGTGCCTTCTTCTTATATTATAATTCCTAAAGGCTGAGAACATTGTTGCATTACAAGCCTGAGATTAGGAACACCTGCCTGGCCCTCTATACCTGAGGCTAGAGCCTCAGGTGTCAAGCCATGGTTGAATTGGTGGAGTAACTTCAGGATGAAGATATGGCAGACAGAGAAGGCATAGAACCTAAAAACCTTGTCAATATCCAGACATGGAAACTTCCATAGTATTTAAATCCAAATAGACCATTTCTTATAAGAAAATAAACAAAAAGGAACAAAAGAAGGGGCTGAAAAGATGGCTCAGTAATTAAGAGCACGTGTTGCTCTTGCAGAAGACCAAGTTCATTGCCTGGCACCCACATGGAGGCTCACAACTACATGTAACTCCAATTTCAGAGAATCTAACACCCTCTCCTGGCCTTCATGGGTACTGCATGTATACAGAGCACTGACAAACAAGCAGGCCAAACACTCATACACATAAAGTAAAAACAAATCTTAATATAAAAAGAATAAACACTGTGCCTATCCCTGCAGTCCAGTATGGGTTATCCCTGGCAGAGTGCCAGCTACTTCCATGATTTGCTCACGCTGCCCTTGACCCCACCTTCCCCATTTTCTTACTTCACTCACTCTTGGTCCTTACCACTGCCTTTTGGGTCGTTACAAATGGCAGGTGACTGATTCCTAAATGACTGCACAAGAGCAGAGGAGAAGAATGTCATTGCTCAATCCATCTCTTTCAGATTCAGTGCAGGACTGTCCACGTAACTGCCACGGGAATGGCGAATGTGTGTCTGGACTGTGTCACTGCTTCCCAGGATTCCTAGGTGCAGACTGTGCTAAAGGTATGTGTCACCACTTTCCTGCAGGGGGGTGGGAGAAGGAGCACCCTGGTTGCCTTCCCATTAAGTCCTCTGTACCACCAGGACTCTGTAAACCCACACATGCTCAAAGCTCCCTGACCCACAGCCAGTGTGCCTATAGGAAAAAGACAGCCAGCCTTGGCACTGAGGTGTGCTGAGAAGAAAGATGTGCTAAAAATGAGATGGTCGGATTTCCTGTAAAAGCAGAAGTGAATTACCATCACTCCTTTCTTATAATCATTAGCTTCTATGTAATGGGAGATTAAGCATCTCAGGGTTAGTGAATTTCATTCATTCTGGCCAGCTACACTCCTAATCTAGGAAGTGCTATTTATCTTTGTGGAATTGGTTTTAAATTGTATTATTAATTTATCTAGACTGCTTTGCAAAGAATGGCTGGGGCCTTGGGATTCTTGGGGGAAAGGTAATTTAAGAAAGAAAATGACTCTCTAAAGAACAAGGAATTTAGAGGCTGCACACCTGGCTTGTAAGAGACCTTCAGTGTGACCTTGAATTGACTCTCAGGGTTAAGTGTAGTTGTGGGGACTGTTTATACACACACACACACACACACACACACACACACACACACACACACACACACACGTCCAGAAAGACACAGATAGATTCTCAAAGTGTTGCATTGTCCTTTTCTGTTTCATTTGTCCAAAGTACAAGGTACTGCCTATAACACAGACTGAGTGCCCACCCACAAATAGGGAATTGTGGGACATTAAGAGACCTCACTCAGCTTGGGTTTGCCCATGTCAGCTGTGCCCTTACACATCTCTGTCTCTTTGTGACCTTGTGCAAGTCAGTCAGCATTTCTGACCTTTGATTTCCTTATCTGGAAAAAAGGAAGCATGACGTCAGAAGTTCAGTGTGAGTAGTGTAAACACACAAAGCAGAGTTCTAATAAGGGCACAGTAGTACTAACACTGTACTGAGTAGCGCTAGGACTGATGTGTCTCACTACAGCGCACTATAAGATCCCAAAGGGTTTGGTTTGGGTACTTATTTACATTTTAATCTATTAATATAATTAAGTTGTCTTTTCATCACCTTTACTTGCATTTCACTAAAAGATTTCTGCCTTGACATCAAAAGTCAAAAAAGCTGCTGCCTCCTAAATAATGCCATTCCTTTATCCAACCCTCAAAGCTCTTTCTCTGGAAAATAGTATTGAGATACTCTCCACAGCTTAAAGATTTGAGATTTGCACCCTGATGGTACTCGGTATTAAGTGAGGGAGGCTTTTATGTCCCTGAAGCCCCGGCATTGGTGGCCGTGCATGTGACATTTGTTCCTAAGACATTATGTCTGTCCCACCACACACAGGTTTGGTCAACTTATCAGATGTGGAAAGATCAGAAACATGAAGCCTGTGAACAGTTTCCTTGGCTGTGTTTCAGCAGAGCACACTCATGTCCTAAGACACAGGGACACGTCCACAAGGAGAATGATAGGCTACCAGCTCTCTCCAAGGGGTCCAGTGGGTGGAGGTTGACCCTGCATTGCCATGTCGAGTGCTTTTCCTAGCGTAGGCTTAAAGGAAGGCAAGCCTCAGTGTGGTCTGAATGGCTTTTCTTGTGTAATCTAATTTTCCTGAGAGTGAAGGCATTAATGAGAGGAAGGACTGAGTCGCCCTTTTATATGTGGCTGCAAATGGGCTGAACACTCAGCCTCGCGGGCTGTGAGCTGTAAATGTGTATTAACACTGACACACATCGATGTATTATTAATCCTAAAAACCGTGTGTGCTCTGACTGCACATCCAGTTACTGGCCTTTCAGACCCAAGCAGTCAGCCATTTAAGAACTCTCCACTCTGAATCCATTTGCAGATGCGTGTCCATTCTGCATTATGGATCCGTAATGGAGTGTACATTTAGCTGCTTAAAAGGACTCTCGGTGTGTGTTTTGCATTCGACACCTGTGCTGTGGCTGGGTGCACCCTCCGAGTGTGCATTAGCCATAGTATATAATTGATCCTTGTGAAACAAATATTGAGTGGCTGTTAAGAGGAGTTATTCCTTCCTATTCAATCGCTGTTCCTGAAATTGGGCTTTGAACTTGTATGCATATTTTAATTTAACTGTTGATGCATATGATGGGTAAAATTGAGGCGCTTAAAGAATGAAATTGCCTTCCACTGTATCCCTCATTTATTGTAGGCAAAGTTGGTTTAAGGGTATGAGAAGCAAGTGCCTGCCCTAACGGGGCTTCTCCCTTCATGCTTTTGAAGTGGCCACAGGTCAAGTTGCTTTGTTATGAACCATGTATACTTTCTTCTGGTTCTAAGCCCTTATTTCCCAAACATCGATCTTCAGTGTACCTGCCTATTGCCTTTTGCCATCAGTACTTTTACTAACTTACTTTTAAATCAATTCACTATGTGTACACAGATATATTTCTTTTGAAAAGAACAATGCCAAAAGCAAACATTTTAGGAAACATGACAATTGGTTGTCATGAATATGATATGTGAATGTCCCTTTAAAAATAGCCAGAGACTTGCCAGGTGGTGGGGGCACACCAGCACCTGGGAGACAGAGGCAGACAGATCTCTGAGTTCCAGGCCTGGTCTACAGAGTGAGTTCCCAGACAACTAGGATTACATAGAGAAACTCTGTTTCAAAAAAACCAAAAGTAAATAAATTAATAAATAAATAAAATAACCAGAGACTCCTCTTTTTGACCACAGTGAATGTCTAAGCCAAGTCATCTTCTAACGGTTTATGACTCATTAAGAATCCAGTAGTGAGGGGTGGGCTGTCTTGTAGAGTGAGTGTCTCGAATGCATTAATGTGCTGCATGAGGGCCTGTGTTCAATCTCTGGTACTGTAAAACAAAGCAAAACAAAGCAAAACAAAAACCAAGAATCCAGCAGTAGACCTGAATATCCATGCAAAGCCTGGCTTCTTAGGGAAATCCAAGTTTAAGCACCTTGTCCCATAGGTTC